CAATGATTTTGTGAACGTAAGAAACTGAAGAAGAAGACGACGACGACAACAACAACAATTGCATTCTGGCTACAAAACAAATGTAAATGATTTTTTTCCTACTTGTGTTTGTATTTTGTTTTGTTTCATTTATAACTAAAATGCAAATCCGAATAAATAATTTGCTGGTGCTGCTACTGTTGTTGTTGTGCTTTTGTATAAATGCCGAATGCTATACTTGTGTGTTCATGCTTAGACACAGGGACGCACAAAACTATGAATTGTTGGGTTCCAAAAAGCAAACATTACTACGTATTTGTGTTTGTTTTTTTGGTAAAATTATTTAAAAATTGAAGAAACCGCCTTTATTCGGTTTTCACCAAGCATTTTCAGAAATATTTTGTTCATTGATTTGGTTTAGGGTATACAAAACAGATGCAAAGTAGATGCGGTTCATTTATTATTATTATATATTTCATTCAGTGTTTTTCTTTTTTTGTCATTGATAAGTTATGTTGCTACGAACACAACAACACAAATACAATTATTCACTATAGATTATTGTGCGTTGATGACATTTGTGCCACACTTTTCACTACATGGAATGGGAAGCTCAAGTTCATGCTGAAGATATGGATTCCCAAAAACTCCAAAATATTGATGTTAACATTTAATTATTTTACCGCCATACAAACATTAAGGTTTATCGCAGTACCCGAAAGTTTAGAAAAATTATCACAGAAAATGTTTACGGATTAACCCTAAAAAATGCTATAACATTTTTAATAATGGAGATATTTGCCTCAAATTTTGAGGAATCATTCTTGAGTTATTTTCACACATAATTGAAGAAAAAATATAAATATTTTCCATATATATAATTTTTACAAATTTTTAAAATTATTACCTACGAAATAGCGTTGTAATGCATCAAAATACTGGACTATCGTCCGGTTTTTTTTTTATGTACGAATTATATATACATTAAAATAATCGCCCATGTTCCGAGAGTTTTTGAATTCCCATACTGTTTTAGATTCCCATTTTGTGCAAAATGGTGTGCCCAATTTCGATCGAAAGTGCTGCTCGAAACATTAGCTTTGTTCAATATGTTACGAACTGTGTTCACTTACTACCAACAAAAACATATTTTTTTAAATGTATTTTCTATTTGTTTAACAACAAAATTATGAAAAACTGCAATCTGGATTGATAATTGCCCTGATTTCTACTAGGAGAAGGCTAATGATATTAGAAGGTTTTAACCGACGTCGCCTTAGGTAATTTGTGTAATTATTTCGATGTTTGCAAAGCTATGCAATCCTGAAAAGGTTGTGGAAATCGTAAACGTAGGAATGTATTGTTTAAAAAAATCTGTCATGTCTGCCATATCGGGCTTACAAAATTCTAGCAATATTTACTGCGGCGGAGGTGACGGCAGTATACTGGGTATGGATAACAATGCCTTTGGCAACAATATGTTATCGAAATTTCCCCAAGTTCGATATGACATTTTTGATTTATATAGAACGACCCAGTAGGAAAATTTTGTACAATTATTTGAAATAAAAAATACGATAATACAAAATTGAGCTTTACAATAATATAGGGAATAAAAAAATAAAACACCATATTTTAAAAGTTTGACATTTATCATTGATATATTCCTTAATGGGTTTACAATTTACTTCAATTTCCCAGTGGGAAGATTTGAAGCAGCAAATCCTGTTGCAATGAAAAAATTCAATTTTCAACGCAATTTTTGAGTTTTTGTATGAGTTATCTCTATATATGGCAATGATTCAATTGGAGTAATAATCTGGAAGCGATAGAATTGTAAATTTGCAAGATTTTCATTCATGTTTTGAAATTTTATTCTGAAAATTCTAAAATATTATATTTTGAAATAGATGAAATTTATTGATATTTCTTATTTCATAATATTTTATGGAATTTATGCATGGTACATGGAATTTATGTTTCATATTATTCATGGTATAATAATAAAAGGTAACAGCAAGTGTTGTTGTACAACAAACGATACAACAACCACATGGAAATTTGTTTTTGTAAGTTCTACTAGTGTTAACTCATTTGACAGAAAAATGTAAACAAATAGACAAATTATCATCAAATTATTTTTATTTTGAAAATGAAATATTTTCGAATCCTCAAAATAAAAATTGAAACAACATGAATGAAAATATATCAAATTTATATTTCTATCGCTTCCACTTCTTTACTATAATTGAGCCATTGCCATATATAGGTGTAACACATATGCAAATGCTGTGAATAGCGAGTTGTTCCTTGAAGAAAGATTTGCTTCCTCAAACGATCCCAGTAGGCAGATTGAGTATATTGAATACGGGAGGACATTTAATAAAGAACAATTTCGAATTGAATAAGTTCCCAATTTTCCTGTTGGGTGATTTTTAAAAACATAATTTGTCAAATGCATATTGACACTAGTATTACGTTAGAATCAAATCAGCTGGGATTTGATGTTACCTTTTATAATTGTACCATGAAATTATTTAAAAATCATAGATGAGTTCTAATAATTACAATTTTTCCGTATAATATATAGTTTAGTGGCAAAATGCACGCCTTCATGTCGTTATATAAAGATAATTATTTTTTATATTGTTAACGTGAAATACACATCGACACATTCCATCTATTCGTCGACTATAAAATCGTATTTGATGTCTGCGATTGGCATTCCTGCAAAATTAATACGGCTATGCAGGATAACTTTAACTGGCACAAGGTCAGCAGTAAAAGGCGGAAAGGACCATTTAATACCGAACGAGAATTCAGACATGGTTACAGTTTGTCGTGTGATCTTTTTAACATACTGCTGGCAAAGGTGAACAATGGGTCGAACATTGCGTGCGTAACAGTACACAATTGAACAAATTGAGAAGGAGTTTGACAAAGTGGGTCTGGCAGTAAATGGCGAGAAGACCAAGAAGCTGATGGTCTTCAGCTTTGAAATCCGGAGGAGAATAGTGTTGGCCAACAGATGCTACTATGGTCTAAGTAAGCATTTTAGAAACAAGGTCACCTCCCGCCAGACCAAACTCACACTCTACAGGACTCGGCTGTTATTTGGTCCTGAGCAGATGAGGCAGCTCTTAAAATATTTAAGAGAAAATGATCTATGGGCCCATTGGCGTTGACTGTGACTATCGCCGTCGAATGAACCATGAGTTGTATCTATTCTCGGACATCGGCATTGTTAGACGTATCGAGCTGCAGCGACTACATTGGCTACGTCATTTTGTGGATGAGGAAGCCCCAGCACAAAATGCATAAAAAACGAGCTTACTGATGGCTCACGCAAAAGGGGGAGGCCACGAATTAGATGGGAAGATCAAGTGTAAGAAAACATTTGGAAACATGGTTTTTCAAATTTGAAGAGCTGCGCCTGAAATTATTTTCATAAGCTCTGCAGTTCCTTTATATAATAAATATCAAGTGTATGTTTTTTATTTATTTTATGATTTGCATACAATATGGTTATAAACCATATTGTCGAACAAATAAAAAACTTATTGGTATTGAAAAACTTTGATGAGTGTATGAAAATCCCAGAAAAAAAATTCGCCATAGGTCGAAGGCTTATTAAACATGAAGTATGTATTTTTTGAGAATACATTTCTTTAGTAAAATCAAATGAGGATTTTTTGTAGAACAAATTGGAACAAATTGTCATTCTACAAAAATATTTTTCATAATATCGAAATACTAAATTTTTCAGTTTTTGGCAAAGGATGGAAGAACAAGTACAGATATAGAAGTTATATTTAAATCCGGTGTGTAGTGATGAAGGTAGACAATGTTAAAAGTTTTGAAGTAAAAAAAAATTTAACACACATCATTTTTTTTAGGAATTACGTTTATATAAAGTTAATAAAAATAGAACTAAATAAATTGATTACTTATATAAGTAGTATAAGTTTTATTTTTTTACTTAGTTAGTTTTTAACACAATGTGTTGCAAAATTTCGTGTAAACCGAAAGATATTAAGGGACTTTGGTGCACCATTTACCTTAAATCGGACTCCCATATATATGGGAGCGATATCTAAATCTGAAACGATTTTCACGAAACTTATCACATATCATTCTAGACCTATTTCATTACGCTGTGCCAAATTTCGTGCAAATCGAAAGATATATAGGGGCTTTGGTGCACCATTTACATTAAATCGGACGAAAATATATATGGAAGCTATATCGAAATCTGAACCGATTTTAAGGAAACTTAACACACATTATTCTAGACCTATTCCATTACGCTGTGCCAAATTTCGTGCAAATCGAAAGATATATAGGGCCTTTGGTGCACCATTTACATTAAATCGGACGAAAATATATATGGAAACTATATCGAAATCTGAACCGATTTTAAGTAAACTTAACACACATCATTCTAGACTTAATTAAGTATGTTGTGCCGAATTTCGTGCAAATCGAGAGATATATAGGGACATTGGTGCACCATTTACATTAAATAGGACGAAAATATATATGGGAGCTATATCTAAATCTGGCCAAATAAGTGACCTTTGCCAAATTTCATCCAAATCGGATCATAACTGCGACCTGTACTTTGTTCACAAAATTACATGGGCGGACGGACTGACGGACGGACAAATATGCGTAAATCGACGCAGAAAGTGATTCTATGCATATTCTCAAAGGGAACCATGTGTCTATCTCGTTTCCTTTTGCCTGTTACAAACATATGCACATACAATAATGCTTAAAACTCTTTTCGTTCACTTCAGAATGTACACATTTTAGAACCATTTATTTCGTACACTTATAGTAGAAATTTCAAAAAATGCCCCAAATTAAGGGCCGATATTCAAGCATGTTGTTCATATCAATTTAATAGAATATAAGGTAACATATAATAAAATATACTTTTATATTGTCCCGCTCAATAATAAACACATTTGAATGAATATGCATGAATGCATATATGTATTAAATGTATATATACTTACTTTAGTTCGTTCCATTGCATTCGAAGTTTTATCAAATTCATTTTCATATCCATAAACGACAACATTTCCAAGTCCTCCAGACTAGAGTGGGTTATTTTTAAGCTGACATTGACATAGGGTTCAAATTTATTCGACAAGGCACTGACAATGGTATGGAAGGAATCGACTTTTTCGCACAACAGCTCAACATAGTTATGGGCATAGGTGGGTTCACAGGTACAGGGTGAGATTTCCGGTCGGGCAGCACAATGGACAGAGGCCACATTGGTAATACTCCAAACGGCATAGACTAACGATGCCATTTTGGAAGACAAGCACTATGGCAAGTGTTTTTAGGATTTAATAGATATATTTTTTCAGTACTGTAGCACTTTTTAATTAACACTTTGGTTGTTTAATTTTTGTTAATTTGTGTTTTATTGTTTAGGGAAAAGCAACATTTTCACAATTTTTCTATTATTATTTTTTTTAATTATATATGTATTTTTTCTTTTGATTAATTTGAAAAAATATTTTTTTATTTTCTATTTGAATTCATATATCTCTCTGGTGGTGATAACTCTTGGGAATTTTGTTTTTGTTCACAAATACAGGCACATATGTTAGTTAGTAGCTGGATCTGCCTCTCTTCCTGTATTTCTGTGTGTGTGCGCGGTTTTTTATGACTCCGGATTCTATTGAATTTCGTCAACCGAATTATTACAGATTTTTCAAAACACCCTCACTCACTCACGCGTTTTTACATACGTACATACATATGTTCCTCAGTGACATAAATATGTTTGATTGTTTGCCATGGGTTTTCCTTGTGGAAAATTTAAATTCAATTTTACAAAAACAATTTCACAAATTTACACCACAATCAGCCGACGACAACGACGACGACGAGTTGATGAAGATCGGGGTTGGTGAAAGGCAAACTGTGATGATTACTGCGGCTGCGACTAGGACGACTAAACACTGATGACGGCGTTTTTTTTTCTGTTAAACGAACCGAGAGGGCTACTTGAGATTGCTCGCTCGCTTGCCTTTTTTGCTGTCGTTACTTCGTCTTATCAAGTCCAATGACGGACGTACAACTCAAAACATTCATCAAAACTCAAAAATTATCAACAACTCAGCCGAAATGGGCAATTGGAATTTTATTCTCGACGGAGGCAAAAACAAATTGAATATTTCACTGCACTTGATTTACTGATACTTTTACACAGTTTATATCACTGATTCACTGATAAATCGGAATGAATGGACTCGGCGAGTTCTGTGTTCGGCCACCTTGTTGTAGGCTAGCTAGCGCTAATGTTCCGGCGTCTCTGGGAAACGTTGAACAAAATTTGAATTTCAATTATTGCTGTGACTTGAAATACGAACGAACGAACGAATCAAATCACCAATACTTGTTGTGTTGCCGCTGTCGTTGTCGTTATAGTCTTCGTCGTAGTTGACATCTGACCCATCAATATATCAATTGAATTAATCTAATAGAAATTCCAGCGAAAAGAAGCAACGCCAGAGCAGCAGGCAATTCACATTCGAACTCTCGCCTGGGGAATGAATATTGAATGTTTTATGGGATTTGTAGTTGTTGCTGGTGTTCGACCTACAGCAGCACCTCTTAATAATTCTCAATAACTTTGTTTTTATTATTATTATTTGCCGTTGCGGAATTTCAAACGCTTATTATTTTTCATTCGCTTCTATTTTGTTATTTTGAATATTATGTATATGTGAATTTCAAATATATTATTTTGCTTTTGTTATTATTTTTGTTATATTTTTTTCTTGCTGAGTACTCTCTTTTCGAGATAATTTATTTGTATTTAATTTTTGTTTTTATTTTATAATTTCAAACTTTTCTCAAAATAATCGCTTTGTTATTTTATTTTCTTCTCAATACGTCCGTATTCCAACACGTTTCGTTTAAGACTGGGAAAATACTTGGCTGGCCGTTTTATGTTTTAGTTTAGTTGGGAAGAGGACGACTGACGGACTGACTGATCTTGATGGTAGTTGAAATGATGATGTTGTTGTTTTGTTTTTGTTGCTGCTCTTTTTTTTTTTGCGGCGGCGTTGGCGACATTCGTATTTTTCTTTTAAATGTTGTTGTGATTCTTATTGCTTTGGTTTGTGATGCTGAAGGCCTGATGTTCAGTGCGACGATTGCCAGTAGCAATTGCCACTTGCTACTACCGATGAGGAAGATGTTGATGCTGACGACGATGATGATGGTTCTTGAGATCGATGTTGTTATTTTATCTTGTCTGATGGCTGTCCATGTGTAGTGGTGGCGTTTTACATAAAATACTCGATTTTCTGATATAATAATACTATATCAGATGTCATTCGAATATAATCAATATTTATTACAAGGGTTTATATATTGGATCCTAATAATACTAATGTTGCCGTATGGAAATTGGAGGACAATTTTGGGACCTCGTCATAATTACACTGATAGCTCCTTCAAAAAAAAATATATATATTTTGATTTAAAGAGGAAAGGGAATTACCAATTTACATATGCAAACATGTTAAGGCGTTTAAACAGTCTAATATCGTGCTATACCAGGTCTTACCACCAATGAGGGTCTATACATTTTGCAACGCCAAAAATGTGCCACACCCAATTGTCTTCGGCAAAATCCGTTTCAGATATTTTTGGAATCGATTTACTATTTACTCAAGCGTTGAATATGGTTAAAGTAAAATCAAATAAGTTTTATAACAAAGTTGGTAAAATATACATAGTAATTAGTAATTCCAGAGACCCCCCACAAACCATAATAACATACTGAAATCAGAATAAATATATATCACTCATTTGCTGCAAAAATCATGATTTTTGAGTTAATGATGCAGAATTGTTCGCTATATCAGACTTCATGTTATATAGCCAATTCAGATGAATATCTCTTACACACTCTGATTAAGAAACTGTAGAAGTTCCTCTGTTACATTTTAGCCACTATGAAATATAAATGTAAAATTTTAATAATTGGTGTACTTTGTGACGTCAAAGATATTGGCGTGTCAGTGAGAACTATTCAAAATGCCAATTAAAAAATTGGCAGAAACTTTGTCAGATTCTCACAATATTAACTCACCATGAAAGGAATCTATCAGGAAATAATTAAAAAAAAGTGAATATTCCTATCCGGAATTGAATCTGGTGGAGGATGATTAACTTCCATATTTACTTTGATCATAACTTTTAAACGCCAATAAATCCTAAAAATAATAACCAAGAATTTTTTACCTCTAAATATCCTGCAAAAATGTTTTTAAAAACCGTTGAATTTTCACCTCTAAATACCCAAACAATGCCCTTCAAAAATATTTTTTTAAAAAACTACGCCTTTTGCCCTTCAAAAATATTTTTTAAAAATATAATAAAAATATTTTTATTAAAAAAATAAATAAAAATATTAGTTTAAATATCTACGTCTTTGGCTCAGAATTTCCTTTAAGGGGACCCCCCATTCTCGGGGTCAACATTTTTTTTTGATTTAATTCGAATTTAAATTAACTCAAGAAATTTCAAGTGAAAATCTCAAGAACTCTTGAAGATATAGCCGATTTATTGTGTCAGCATCAAGTGACGGCTAAAAGGCTTCTCAAACTTAAAACGCGTTTTTCTTTTTTTGCGAATGGCGGGCACGATATCTCAAAAACTAATAACCCAATCGATTCCAAATTTTTACACGTTTTTCTTTGAGTGTATAGCTACGTATGAACTAGGATAAAGCCGATCGGTGAAGATCTTCCTTATTTTTATACCCTTCACCACACTGTGGTACAGGGTATTATGTCTTTGTGCATATGTTTGTAACAGGCAAAAGGAAATGAGATAGACACATGGTTCCTTTTGAGAATATGCATAGAATCACTTTCTAAGTCGATTTATGCATGTCCGTCCGTCTGTCTGTCTGTCCATGTTAAATTGTAAACAAAGTACAGGTCGCATTTATGATCCGAATTGGATGAAATTTGGCATAGGTCACTTATTCGGCCCAAGGACGAACCCTATTGAAATTGGGAAAAATCAGTTCAGATTTAGATATAGCTCCCATATATATATTTAACCGATTTAATGTAAACGGTCCCTATATATCTTTCGATTTGCACGAAATTTGGTACAGCCTAATCATTTAGGTTTAGAATGATGTCTGCCATATATAGTTTCGTCCGATTTCATGTAAATGGTGCCCAAAGTCCCTATATATCTTTTGATTTGCACGAAATTTGGCATAACGTACTGAATTAAGCCTAGAGTGATGTATGCCAAGTTTGGAGAAAATCGGTCCAGATTTAGATATAGCTCCCATATATAGTTTCGTCCGATTTGATGTAAATGGTGCCCCAAAGTCCCTATATATCTTTCGATTTGCACGAAATTTGGTACAGCCTAATCATTTAGGTCTAGAATTATGTCTGCCAAGTTTCGTGAAAATCGGTCCAAATTTAGATATAGCTCCCATATATAGTTTCGTCCGATTTCATGTAAATGGTGCCCCAAAGTCCCTATATATCTTTCGATTTGCACGAAATTTGGTACAGCCTAATCATTTAGGTCTGCCAAGTTTCGTGAAAATCGGTCCAGATTTAGATATAGGTCTCATATATAGTTTCGTCCGATTTCATGTAAATGGTGTCCAAATTCCCTATATATCTTTTGATTTGCACGAAATTTGGCATAACGTACTGAATTAAGCCTAGAGTGATGTCTGCCAAGTTTGGAGAAAATCGGTCCAGATTTAGATATAGCTCCCATATATAGTTTCGTCCGATTTGATGTAAATGGTCCACCAAAGTCCCTATATATACTTCGATTTGCACGAAATTTGGCATAACCTACTTAAATGGGCCTAGAATGATGTCTGCCAAGTTTCGTGAAAATCGGTCCAGATTTAGATATAGCTCCCTTTTATTATAGATTGATTTTAAGTAATTGACGTACTAAGGAACCAATAGGAACAAAACGTTCTGAAATTAGTATAACATAACCTGTGACAAGTTTGTTTGACATCGCTCAATATTTGGATAGAGCTTCCATATATATTTTCGCCCGATTTCAAATACATTGGGCATCAAACTCCTCATGTTAGTCAGATTGACATCAAATTTTGCACAACTTAAAAAATTGAGCATAGAATTAATTGCGTTTTCTAGAAGTGCAGACATAGCCCAACGGATGACCTATTTATATTTGTTTGAAGTCGATTGACATACTTTATGGATAGATCTAGGTAGATTCACATTTAGATAAATATCACATTTTTTTCATCCAATTTTATGTTATAGTCCTGTTAATATACCAATAGTGGTGAAGGGTATCATATAGTCGGCCCCGTCCGACTTTACTACTTTCCTTACTGGTTTAACTTAGTTTGTGGTCAAAAATCGGTAATTTTCGAAAAATATTTTTTCAAAGGTCCGCCATTTTGTTAATTTTAGAGCGAAGTCAATAATCCGAGTTATACGAGAGTCAGTCATGTACCCTTTCTAACACCGTTGGAATTTTCGGATTCCGATGTTCCAGTGAGGAGTTTTCATGCCGCCATCAAAAATAAGGATTTTTTTTAATTACAAAAAACAACAAAAATTTTTTGTAAATTATTTTTTTTTTCTCTTTTAAATCTTCAAATATATATGTGCAAAGTTACAAACCTTAACAAACATTGGTATTGATATACAAGCCAATTAAAATCTTGAAAAATTCCCTTAAACATATTATTTGAAAAATCTCAGAATTTCCTTTAAAAATATTTTTTTTAAATATCTACGCCTTTTGCTCAGAATTTTCTTTAAACATATTTTTTAAAAAATTCTACGCCCTTGCCACAAAATATCCTTCAAAAATATTTTTTTTTTAAACTACGCCTTTTGCCCTTCAAAAAATATAATAAAAATATTTTTTTAAATATCTACGTCTTTGGCTCAGAATTTCTTTTAAACATATTTTTTGAAAAATCTACGCATTTTGCCTCAGAATTTCCTTTAAAAATTTTTTTTTTAAATATCTACGCCTTTTGCTCAGAATTTCCTTTGAACATATTTTTTTTAATAATTCTACGCCTTTGCCACAAAATATCCTTCAAAAATATTTTTTAAAAATCTATGCCTTTGGTTGGCAAATTTTCCAACAAATAAGTATCGATTTCGGTTCACTTTTTATGGTCAGGTATTGTTCACTCTAATGTTCGTTATTGCGATTGTTTTAGTTATGTTTTTCAATCGATTTGGCTCATATTGTATATTTTGGTAAATCTCCCTACCAATAATTATAGGTATAGGTCAATCTTTGGGTATACGCCCCATATTAGGTATTTTAATGACACTTGTTGCATTTTTAGTAGCTTTAATTTGACATTACGGGATCTTCGGGGGTAAACAGCCTCCTCCTTCCTACCAAAGAAGTACATGTACATAGGTTCCACGTCATGTTTGGTATATTTGGTGTCATATAACAATTTTCCAAACTGAGTGTTCGTAATTTAGCATTTCGTTTTCTTCGGGCTGCAATTTGTCATGACCTGTCGTGCTGATCCATGATAGACGTTATAAAACACGTTAACCACTTCTTTCCTTTTTTTTTGTTTTTGGCAGATGTAAACACTTTTCTAAATTTTCAGCCAGGCCTATAATGGAGAATTACAATCCACACAGTGCAGCTCATAGATGGTCCAGCTTTTTGTGTTATATTGTGTCACCTGCCCTAATAATTAACTTTATATACCAATTTTTGTTTTCTCCGCTTGAATGCGAAATATAAATAGCAACCTTCCAATTTATGTTAATTTTTTAAGGAATTCCCAAGAATGACCCTGTGCATGTTGTGATTAATCGGAAATAGTTGTCCGATACCGTCTTATATCTTAATGTCAGTGTGTATATATCTGTGTGTATTAAATGATTTGTTTTGAACTTCAAGATCATATTTTATAACAATAATAAACAAAATAATCT